CTGCGTGTACCACCGGGGGTACACGTGGCCTGACGATCAAGTTTACCGTGTACCACCGGTGGTACACGTGGCACGGAACGTGTTAATAACTCGACAACTACGCGTCGGACAATATTTTGACAAAGGAAAATATTGTTTAAAATCACCTCAGGAACCTCCCATTAAAAAACGTACCACCAGTTCTGGGACACCTTGTATATGTATATGAATAAACACTACACCAGTGGAGGTTTCGGTCCAAGGAACTGAAGAGACCTGCACATAAAGCCAGGCCTGAGCCAGCCCGTAATAGAAAAGCAAGTTTTAAAGAAAAGGAAACGGGAAGCAATTAATTCAGAGCACATAAATACGACACTAGCGCTGAATTATACATATGTATAGAGGAACAGGAACGAGAATGGCAGCCCGTGGATGCATTTTTAACTCTCTTGAGATCCATGATGACGGAATTCAGCGAAAGTGAATTTCATGAATTACGCAGAGGAATGCTTCATTTTATTTAAGGATTATTAGCAAATAAATATGAACGGAGAACAATAAAAAAACTTAAGAAAAAGGATTAAGATGTCTTTCTTTGACATGTATTTCTGTGTGCATACCTCAAAGATGCTCCTCCTGTCATGGTACGCTGCCAGCTTCCGAAAGGAAAGAATCTTTGAATGTCTCCCTCATTGTAAGCGTCTTCGTACCTCTTCGGTCTCTTTGATGCGGCAGGTTCTCCAGAACATCCGTGGTGATTTGTGCCGATAACGATGCTCCAGCCACCACGTTGGTCGGTTACTCCTTAAGATCCCGGATGACATTTGTTATCGGCTCAGCACGGAATGGGCGAAAATTTCCCGATAGCTGCTTTTTCCGTATCCCATGACATCCACAGCGGTGAATATATTATAATTGTTAAGTCGAGAGAAAATTGTGTGAGTCTACACTCACTTAGACACTTAGATTTTCCTCGTGGACGGAAAAACAGTTTAAGAGCATCGCTCGGCTGTTAGTAATTCTTTAATTCGCGTATGAAAGGTTGCCGACTACAAGGAACGATGTAACGTTTTGCTAGCCGGCTAAGTCACCGCGAGTAGAAAAAATGATCAACACCGCCTACCTAGCCGATTCAGTAGACACCAGTACACGTGTAATTTACGTAAATACAACAAAGAAGGACGATAATTTATTGAAAAGGGAAAGAATATTCGTCGCTCCCGCCGGTTAGTGGGGAATCTCGTCTTCCTAGAGAGCTAGAGTCGAAGCACCGATCTTGTCAGCAGTTGGCAGTCAAGGAGTACGTTTGTCTAAGACGCCTTTTCGTCTATAATCGATAATGAGCTCTACAACAGAATTTATATATGCATTTTATTCTTTGCTAGCTTCCTGATTTTGAGATTCCTCAATCAGAGCCAGAGTCATGCAACAAATTCCCTTCCGTCTTTTCTTCCGAATGAAAGATTCTCTTTCGCATTCAGCATTATCGCTGTTTCAAAGCATCGAGAAAGCGGTACGTTGATAAATCGACGTACGTACGTTCCGGACATTCCGCAGGTCGCAATAGCCTTAATTGTTGGCTGACCGGCCGGTCGAGGAACCACGTCTTCGTATTGGACCTGCAGTAGGTTGGTAGTGCATCAGCCCGTGACCTGCAGCGCACCGCGAATAAACAGGCGTTCGAGTTAGCCCTGGCTTAGGGACGTCGGTGGTGGTGTCGTCTGCATTCCAGGCTGATCATTTATTATTTCGGATCAGTCGGAGTCCTTGGTCTTACAACCTGAGCTCCCGTACAGCCCGTATACACTGTACGTGCAGTGCAGACAGCGTCTGGTTACAGCTGATCGGTGCACCGATCCAGCGATAATCAAACGTTATTGTCGGCCTCGTCTCAATTGCTTCTAATTGAGAATAGAGAGTAAAACGCCGGAGAATTCCTCTCAGCAACATACAGTCCACAAATTATAATAATTATTTTCTGCCGATTCCGAGCGAAATAACTAATACATCGCTTCGGTATTTCTTTTCTTTTGTTTTTACAGAAATCGCCGCTAAGGACATTCAGCGGCAACGACACGACCGTGCCCCAGGCCAATACAATAAATAATCAATAACATAAACGTTCGCGTTGCGAACGGTTCTTTTTATTTCGTATTTCTTTCGAGAACGCGGCCGGGTGACCGGTCGCGACAATAACGTTTCATTTTTATAATTCTTATACGAATTATCACATGTCGTTTTTTTGCGTACCCTTCTTCTCCTCACACTCCGGACTTCCGTTAGACTATCACCAAAGACAGGTCAAAGTATGGTTTCAAAATAGGAAAATGAGCAACCGGCGGCAGCCAGGATAGAATTAAATCCAGAAGAAACAGAAGATTTGGACTACGTCGTCTCACATATGCTTTCGACGGCGAATATGCGAAAGAACGTACTTATAAAGACAAGAGAGCAATCTCCAGGTGAAAATCTGGTTCCAGAATAGGAGAATGGGCAACCGGCTGCACCTAGGATAGAATTAAATCTAGAATAAATAGAAGAGCTGGAATACGGTATCTCACATACGCTTCCAGCGGCGTATGGCAAAAGAACATACTGACAAAAACGAGAAAGCAATCCTATCTAATCCTAAACCTATTTCTGGTGGCCATCGGTGAGAAACGCTGCCGCTGCAGCCAATTCAACTAGCCATGGAATATAGCACTGACTTCCGATAGTCGTCGTCGATTCGAAAAACCATCGTATACAATTATCCAACGCTGAATAATCGTATTAAATCCAACCAATTGTTCCACACAAAGTTTATTTTCACTATTTGAAAAAGCACTGTACAAGAAGCAGATCCGTATACAAAATGTAATTGGATTCATGTCTGACAATGCATGAGTGATATTTGGGCGTTGTTCCAAATTTTTTAACAAACTCAAATTGAAATATCTTTCCGTCAATGTGTCGAACCCCGGTACTTAAAGATAAAACACATGGACAACAGTGATATAGTGATAGAACGTAAACCGAGAAACTTTCCCACGAAATATAAAGTTTGTGTGTTGATAATTCTGAATATTTGTAAAAATGCGATACTAATTTATGAATTCATCAAGAAAGGCCCTAAAAGAAGACTGTGTAACACGAATGAAGATCTAAGATGAAAAAATATGAGCGTTTATAGTCGTGGTTTAAAGAAAGGGAAACCTAAGGAGATTTTTTACCGAACTAATTATTAATGGCAAATGCACAGAAATTAATAACCGCTATTGGCTATACGCAGATTTGAAATGATACAGATACGGAAGATTTATAGATCATAACTAAAGATAATAGAGACATAATAGGGACTACTGCGTCATAACTCGACTATAAGAATCCATACGCGACCATGTATTATACAATAAATATCTACTCATACAGATACATACACACGAAACGGAAAGAGTGTATATGTACGAGAGATGCAGTTAAAGTTCGACGGGCTGCATCGACGCGGCATCTGAATCGAGAAAGCATTTGTAATTTGTTGTCGATGTCTATTTATTGATTACGAACATTCTGAGCTAAACTTAGTTAAGGGTTAAGAACTTTACTATCAGTGCTGTGTGAAAATCCAACGTTTAAGGAAACGTTCCTAAGGAGGAACGGACATTTTGACTAATGTCAAAACTTATCGAAATCAGCAGTGACATTATTACAGGATAGGACATGGATGAATCATTTCGTAAAACGTTCGATTTTAACCCCTCTCCGTGCTTTAACGAGTATGACTCGTGATGAAGATTTTGGACCAAACATGAATATCACAAGCCAGGCTCATGAACAGAAAATTGTGTGCCAAACATAAATATCGTAACATAATCGTAATTGGATGTTAGTTCTCCGCTTTGACACCTACCGTTTGGGCCCGAGTTTCGTCGAGTTAAATGGCACGGGGAGGGGTTAACGTGGATGTGTAACACGAGTATAAATATACAACTATATGTACATATTTATATTATTTATACGCGCGTCGAGCTTCATCGGCGTACGTGCGACTGCGTGTGATTGTTGCTCAAAAGTATAAAAAAAAATGGAAAAAGACTTGAATGCTGTGCGACGAATATCAAAAGCCATTTTTCCCCATTCATATATTGCCAGTAAATTAACTTTATCTAGATTTAAATGTAAAAAATACAACATAAAAAATGTACTTTCTAAAATAGAGTCCAATAGAATTTTATTGATAATGCTCGACATGAAAAATTTTCTATTCTTGTCTACGAAAACACAGATATTAGTAACACTAAATGGCCTACTCTCCTAATTAAATACGTCAATTGGATGCAACCAATTGTTCCGCGGTAGATTTATGTTCAATATTTGAAAAAACGCTGTACGACAAGTAGTGTTACGGACGTGGGTCAGCTGGAAACACAGACTTCTAAAGGTGAGCGTCTCAGCACAACAGGTTTCGACACCGTTGTGTAGGCCGCGTGCAATTCAATTAAGGGACTGATCGGGGCCGCTTTCCTCGCCCTCGGCCGATGAAGGCCAGTAAACGGCGAGGCCCGGAACGGATGGAAAACTTGGGAGCGTTTCCTCTGTGGCCAGTTGCTCCTGGGAGACATGTCGCCTGGAAGGGTAGTCACTTCACGAAAGAGACTCGCTTGTGTTTCCGGGGAAGGCTGGCCCGCGTACCTCGCGTAGTTCGCGTACAATTAAGCGACCGATCGGGAACGGATGGAAAACTTGGGAGTATTTCCTCCATGGCCCGATGCCCCAGGAAGGACGGTCGCTTCTTGAGGAAGGCTCGTTAGAGTTTCCGAGAAAAGCTAGCTCGCGTAGCTCGGGGATCCCAAGTATCGATCATATTGTGCGTACTTGGTTTAGGTCATTATCTCACCCCTGATACATTTGGTCGACGACGCTCGGGTAGACTTATTAGACTTAAGTAGCTTGCCGAAATTCTGGAATCGTTGTTCTTGGCGTATGGTTTTCTCAGCGTGAGAAAATACCTTGAGTTTTTCCTGCGCCACAGGGTGAATGCGAGAACAACGAACGCGACATTTGGAAACAATAAATTATTGTAAGTCTAGACGGCGCGACGAACCCTTGAAGCGCTTAGGATCAGGAAGGACATTGTGTGTCGCCTAGGGCTCGACCAGTTCAAGTGTTTGGAGCCAATTTATTTAAGCAATTTTAAGCGATTTGGGCTCGGGTTCGAAGCATGAGCAAAAACAGATAGCTGTGAGCAGCACTGTTTAGAGAAACGCGTATTTTGTAGTACTTAAGTTTGTCATCGGATACGGCTGCGTAGCGAACGTTGGATTGTGGGAAAACTGTTTTAGGTATTGGGACAAGTTGGGACTCAATAGCTGTCAAGCTTATCGCAGTCAATTTATTGCCTCCTCTTAGAAAGAAAATAGCATCGGTTCGGGTTCGCGAACTGAGTCTAAACACATGGCTGCNGGGAAGGAGATTGGTGTGGACTACGTCTGGGCATGGGAGTCCGAGAAAAGGGCGGTTTTCGACCGAGGGATTGGACATTTTCCTCGGGGATGATTATAGAAAGGGAAAACGCGGTTCCCGGCGATCGATAGCGTGGGAGGAGGCGGGTCTTAGGACCCAAATAAATAGCGGGCGCTTTTTGGAGAACAGAGAGTTCATCGGACAGTTCCTTTGAGACAGTTCATCAGTAGAGTTCAGTCTAATAGTTCTTTGAAGAGTATTCTTGATTCAGATCACATTAGTTGTGCGAGACAGTTCTCTTGAGTCAGTTCAACCAAACAGTCTCAACGTGTCGCTACCAGCCGTCCGAACAGGTAGGTAATAAAATAATTTGACAAACATTTGTGCCTTCTTCACTCTCCCTTCACGATTCACTCGCTAACACTCGTGTGAGTGTTAACAAGTAGATTCCTATACAGAATGTAACTGCATTTTGGCTTTTCGACCTAAATACACTGTCCTTGACTCGCAACGCGTTCGATATCCGCGAATCCCTTTGCGTAAAGAACTTCACGTAATTGTTGTAAATAGAGGACGTTCCTCAAGTTTCTTAAGGCATCGCTATAACTTGTAGGGATTCTATTTGCATTCGAAAGCGGCTCTGCGTTAGGCAAAGTAATAATGATGACAGACAGATTATTATTATCATTCCCATTGCCTTTTTTCCTTGGAAAAGTTAGGGTAGCTGGATAGCGAACATACAAATGGTAAACAAAGACTTAATGATTCGCGGCCACTGGGTCAGATTCCCACTATACAGGGTGTCAAATTAACAAAGTTTTTGCAAAATAAAAATTTTCTCTAGAACAATTATTCAAGTTTCTAATGATTCAAGATGAGAGAGGTTGCACTGCTCTTCATCGTGCTTTGAACGATAATTCTTGTGATACGCGGCTTCAGTATATGGCAGTTCAATTAATTTTAAATACAGCACAATCAAAATTTTCTCCACAACAATTATTTGATTTTTTTAGTGATTCGACATAAGAGAGATTACACCGCTCTACATGGTCATCATCTTAACAAGTTTACGGTTGTTCGAAGCCAGAAAGGAATATTATTAAATATAGCGCAGGATCGAAATAATCAGGATCTTATCGATCTGTTTAATTTCCAAAGCATGAAACATCAGAAACTGACCATGCAGTTTTTGAAAGCTGTAGTGATGATAGTCCTGGAATTCTGGTTCACAGTCGTAAGAAGCCAGCGAGATTGGATTAATTACTATTAAATCATTTGAAATAACAGAAACGTTTCTGTGAACCATGACAAATCGTCAACGGTTATTGTTATTACAGCGCAGGAATTTTTGCTTGTTAAATTTACGGTATAAAGTTCCGAACCGTCCTAGAGTCTACACTAAACAGAAAAGTTAGGCACGTAAAACATTTCAGTTTCTTCAATATTGTAGCTTCAACGAAGCCTGTCGTATATGTATAAATCTAGTGCACTCAAGATTTCTGTGTGAAAAAATTATTTTTAGCACTCTTTTATTTTTCACGGCTACATTCTGCAAGGGGAAAATCAGAAAAAATTCTCAGATATGTCCAGCTACACTAGGAACAAATTTTTTCAGATTTTTTGCAAGGCGTTAAATAAGGAAAAATTTCAAAAAACTGATTTTTCGAATTTTCCCAATTACTACCCCGCTGATTGAGATATAAGGCTAAAAATTGGAGTGCGTGTCTATTTTCTGATAAACTATCGAATGGCGCAAGCGGCGCTATAAACTGACCTTTTGGGACGAACAGCGGTGGTCTGACCCGTACATTTGGTCGATCTCTCGAGCTAGACAAAATTTCACTGGGGCCCTTCGAAGTCTCCGATGTTTACATGCTTTTAGTATAGGTTGGAAACTTGGTTGTCGGCCCTGGTCGAACTTAAGTTACTTTGGCGATATACGGTAACTATCACTGATGTTTAATGTGATCGTATATAATTACTAGTTGTATTAATCCTAATGTTTCTTGGTATTTTTTAAAGACAGTGAAGATGAACAGAAACTTCGAGCTACCAGCCAAAAGCCAAGGCTGCTATGATTGCAGCTCTGAGAGCCGCGTAAGCAGATGCGAGCGCACCGGATTCGCACGAGTGCGGCGAACCACGATATATGGAACGATTAATATGCATCCACTAGAGGTGAGTTTAGTACGTTTTGAAACCACAATAAAATTTTTGCATCCTATTAATACAATGTGAAATTGATTCTTTCAGCTACCGAACATATCGTGGCTGGGGTGCCCGGGGAGGGCATAATATATCGGATATGTTATCGATCATATGTGTAAGTGTAAAGGGTGCTTCTCGTTGACTCGCGTCCCTGATCTGGTATCTCTGACCTCCGGTAGATCTGACTGCAGGCCTGACAAAAATCTGACATCAATCTGGAATCAGGCCTGACATCAGGCTTGGCGTTATTCTGTTACCATACTGGCGATAAGCCTGACATTACCATCTAACGGTAGATAGCGAGCAGTCTGCTGCCAATCGGCTGCCAGACTGTCATCAGATGTTGAAGTCAGGGATTGGCGCATTCTGCTGCCAGTCTGCCGTTAAATCCTGCAGCATGCCTAACGGAATCCTGCCACTTGAAGATTTGGCTGACTGGGTTACGGTCGGCTCGAAAAACACCGCACCGCACTGCACGCTCTGTGAGGATCTTTGACTATATAAGATACAGTTCCGATTAACACATGCTTCCGACGGCGTATATGCAAAAGAACATACCTATAAAGACAAGAGAGCAGTATCCAGGTGAAGATTTGGTTTCAGAATAGGAAAATGAGCAACCGGTGGCAGCCAGGATAGAATTAAATCCAGAGGAAACAGAAGATTTGGATTACCTCATCTCACATATGCTTCTGACGGCGTGTACACAGAAGAATGTACCTATAAAGACAAGAGAGCAGTTTCCAGGTGAAAATCTGGTTTCAGAAAAGGAAAATGGGCAACCCGTAGCAGCCAGGATAGAATTAAATCTAGAATAAATAGAAGAGCTACAATACGGTATCTCACATACGCTTCCAGCGGCGTACGGCAGAAGAACATACTGACGAAAACGAGAAAGCAATCACCTATTTCTGGTGGCCATCGGTGAGAAACGCAGCCGCTGCAGCCAATTCAACTAACCATGGAATATAGCACTGACTTCCGACAGTTGTTCCCGATTCGAAAAACCATCGCATACAATTATCCAACGCTGAATAATCGTATTAAATCCAATCAATTGTTCCACACAAAGTTAAAGATAAGAGAGCAGCAGCCAAATGAAGATCTGGTTTCAAAATAGGAAAGTGAGCAACCGGTGGCAGCCAGGATAGAATTAAATCCAGAAGAAACAGAAGATTTGGATTACGTCGTCTCACATATGCTTCCGACGGCGTATACACAAAGAACGTACTTATAAAGACAAGAGAGCAGTTTCCAGGTGAAAATCTGGTTCCAGAAAAGGAAAATGAGCAACCGGTGGCAGCCCGGATAGAATTGAATCTAGAATAAATAGAAGAGCTGGAATACGGTATCTCACACTTCACGTTTCCAGCGGCGTATGGCAAAAGAACATACTGACAAAAACGAGAAAGCAATCACCTATTTCTGGTGGCCATCGGTGAGAAACGCAGCCGCTGCAGCCAATTCAACTAACCATGGAATATAGCAGATCCGTATACAGAATGTAATTGGATTTGGGATTTGGGAACACGTCTGATAATGCATCAGTGATATTTGGGCGCTCTGTTCCTCATTTTGTTCCAAACTCAAACTGAAATATCCTTTCGTCAATGTGCCGAACCCCAGTACTTAAACATAATACACATGGGCAACAATGATATTTTGAGCAGGTCACCGACAGACATGGCCATGCGTTTTACTTTCGAATTGACCCACTGAAACTCTTCTAGGAGTAAGTGAACTTAGAGACGAACGACTAAATCGAACTCTAATTGTTTTCCCACTTTTTATAATTCTAGCGACTCTGTAATTTATAAAATTGTTAGTTATTTGATTGAGTATGTTACATTTGTTTAATGAACATTAGTAACGAGTAATCGCTTTTTTTCCTCTGACATTTAACCAATTTGTTAGTTCGTTTTTGCATGCAACTAAGCGCGGAGTATGGGCGCGGCGACGTCCAAAAGACAGTCGGCGCACTCGTCGGCCGCTATACGGGCGCTCTGATTGGTCGGGGTTTGTCGTTAATAACTCAACAACTACGCGTCAGACAACATTTTGACAAAGGAAAATATTGTTTATAATCAGCTCAGGAACCTCCCATTAAAAATGTATCACCAGTTCTGGGACACCCTGTATGCGTTAGTGAAATACCGGTGCGGGTCAAAAGTGACTTTGGCACAAAATGAATTCGCGTTTCAGTAATCTTAATCAAGTTAAATATCAGTAGTTTACATATTACAATCTTGTAAGGTACGTCGGGTACCGAAATCAAATATTCGGATACGCGAATTGATATTTATTTATTAGGAATTAACCCTTAACCATAGTGGAAGAAAACAAGGGTGTTCAATCAGAGAGAACAAAGAGTTTCTCTCTGGTTCAATGTGCTCGTTAGGTGGTGCAAAAATTGATCATTTCTGCGTAGACTTAAGCAAGCGCCATTTTGGTTACACATTCAAATTCAAACTAAATAAATAATAATATACAATAGTATACATTTAAGTGCGAAACAATGAAATGATAAAATATGTCGATGTACGGCGTTAGCTTTTGCAAAAATAGAAACAAAGAAGGGCGAAAAAAAATTCAATGTTTTCCGTAAAATGAGGTAATAAATTCCCCAAAGTCAGGAAACTACCTTACAGTAGGTCAAAAGCAGCAATAAAAAAGTTAATCTCAAAAATATTGGCTGCTCTTTTACACCCTTAACTATATGACGACAGTGGCGATTCTAGTGATTTATGCTCACTGCTTATCAGAAAGGGCGGAAGGTTGTCCATCTAACCTATTCAAACTGTAGTTTCATTTTTGAACCTTCATTTATGTTTTAATCTTTTTCTTTTTAATTTTTATCTGCTTCTTTATATTCCTTTAGAAACTACAACACCAGAACTTTTATGACCCAATATCTGACTGTATTTTATATTTTTTCTCTTAATCAAATCTCATCAAAAACGATTATGTCCGTTGGCACCAATTTTCTCCCCAGTGCTTATCATCCTTTATTGATCGTTCTGATAGTGGGGAGTGTTGTCACATTCCAAAAAGTGCAGACCTTGTAGTCTAGTGTAATCTGTTAGAGGCAGAAATCTGTGATTCGTGTCTTCGAATAACGTGAAGAATAAAGAAATGGAAAAAGAGAAAATATAAGACGTTGAGTGCGTACAGTCATAATAATATGTCTTCACTGGTGTAGTGTGTAGACTGTAGATTGCGAAGCTAAGTGATTCTGGAGGAGAAGCCTGGACTTTCATTTAGATACAAAATTTGGCGCGAATATAAGCCAAAACTAAATTTTCCCGACGCTTTATTAAGTCATTTATTTCTAGTCTTTATGTTATTTAATCTTTTTTATTTATGATTAAATTATATTATTGTACTCTTCCCCTTGTATTTTATGTTACTTTCTTTTATCGCAGTACACTCTGCGCTTTTTTATTAATTATTATGTTCCTAAACTACACTATGTGTATTTGCATCTTTGCCTGTATCCTTGATTAGTTTTCAATTCTTCGATTAGATTCATTTTACTGTGCGTATTAATTATGTTGAAAATTAGACGAAGAAAACCCCGTATGACTATAGAACAACGCCTCGACATTCTGCAGGATTTACAAACATTATCTCGTAAAGACGTTGCTGCGAAATATAAGGTGCCTATCGATACTATTTATAGAATTAATAAAAATGTCGCTAAACTTAATGAGTTTACGGCCAACTGCATGGATGACAATCGATGTATAATGAGAAGAACAAAATACAAACTGTTAGACGACCGTTTATGGTCGTGGTTTACAGAAATGGAGGCTAAGGGAGAATCAATGTCAAATAAATTATTAGGAGAAAAGGCAAAGGAAATAAGTAACGCCATCGGCTACACAAGGTTTAAGGTGACCCACAGTTGGCTGATAGGATTTAAACTACGTCACCAAATACGCTTACGAGATGGTTGCAGACCAGCACAATTCCAAATGATTGAGGAACCTTTATGATTGTGGTGTACAGAAATGAAAGCTGAGGGAAATTATGTCTCAAATAAACTAATAAAAGAGAAGGCAAAAGAATTAAAACTTGCCACTGGCTATGCGAGATTTAAAGCGAGCCACATGTGGCTGGAGGGATTCAAACTACGTAATAACATAGGTACACGGAGTCACAAAAAGGTGGTATGTATCAATATCGATGAGAATAGAGCGAAAAGTCCTCAGCAGGAGCTAGAAATAGAAAAATTAATAGGAAATGAATGTGTTAATTTACAAAACTTGTATAACATTAATGAGATCATCCTCTTGTGGAAAGCCTTGCCTACCAAGACACATGTGGGTAACAGTAAACAAAGCATTAGTGGCCTAAAATTAAACAAAGAAAGAATTATGCTAGTTTTATGTGCTAATGCCAGTGGCACTCACAAAATCAAGCCACTGGTGGTTTCTAATTATCAAAATCCACATGCCCTTAAAGAAAAGGACAATTTGCTCCTAATACATGAACAGTCGAAGAAAACATGGAAGAATACAAATTTGTTTACAGTTTGGTATGAGAATGATTTTAAAAGTAGCACTAAAAGTCATCAGTTACAGAAAGGCGTAAGTGGGAAAATATATTTGCTATTGGACAACTGTAGTGACCATAAAAAAGTGGACGCAGAAGATGAAAATTTTCAAATTATGCACTCACCGCCTGATACATCTTTAATTCAACCAATGACCGAGGGCGTAATCGACAAAATCAAGACATGTTTCAGGCACAAATTAATGAAAGAATTTTTAAGATATTCTAATGGAGAGGAAGAATTTTACCAGAAATATTCCATAAATGACTGTATAAATATGGTTGCCGAATCATGGGAGGATATTTTATATACTAAAAACAATATAAAAAATACGTGGAAGGAACATGTTGATGAAAGGGAAGAAATTAGTGAAGAAAAAAAGGACAAAGAAAAACATGAAGAAAATATCTTGAATGAAATGCAAGATATGATGAGGATAATTTTGGAACGTAATACAACGATGGAAGACGTCATCAGGTTTTTAACTGAATGTCGCCTGGAAGAAATATATTTTCTTAATCAAAATGATGAAGAAAACACGAGCGATATTTATGAAAATGATGAAGAAAACAGGCTTGTAATTGATGAAAGTGACGACGAAAACAAGCTCGTAATTATTGAAACTGACGATCAAAACAGGGATGAAATACATGAAAATGAAGAAGAAAACAAGGACAAAAGTCATGAAAATGACGAAGAAAACAGACATGTAATTGATGAAAATGATGATGAAAACAAGCTCATAATTACTGAAACTGACGATCAAAACAGGGATGAAATATATGAAAATGAAGAAGAAAACACGGACGAAATTCATGAAAATGATGAAGAAAACAGGCTTGTAATTGATGAAAGTGACGATGAAAACAAGCTTGTAATTATTGAAACTGACGATCAAAACAGGGACGAAATACATGAAAATGAAGAAGAAAATAAGAGCAAAATTCATGAAAATGATGAAGGAAACAGGAACAAAAATAATGAAAACCGAAATGATGAAATAGGCACAACAGATAAAGGTGAAAAATTGACAGCAGCCGACATAAAATTAAACCCCGAAGAAAGAGAAGAGATGAAATATATTTTTGAAAGACTTGAGTATTATTATCCAAGATTGCCGCATGCAATTAAATACTATTTGCAAGCATGCAAATCAGCGTGTATAGGTAATATAGAAATTAATTATTGTATCGGTACGTCGTATTACAGTGGCTCGAAAAACTATTGGCACAGTTTTTAAAATGGAATACCTTTTTTAATATTGATATCCCTTAGTGGGATCCCAAAACACTTAGGCTACTATGTAATAAGCAAGAAAAATATGTACAGAATTTTTATTGGTCGGAATCGCGAAGAAAAAAGCGAACGTTGAGTTCTTTAACTTCTTTAAAAAATTTGAAACATCCCAACTAAAAATTATGTTGTGTCGTTCAATATTAAAAAGTTATTACGTTTTAAAAAGTGTGGCAATAATTTTTGAGTCGCTGTATATTAAATGCATTCAAAAATAGATAATTATAATTCTATTTTTAGGCGAACCTATCGATGTTAAATATTCAGTTCACTGAATTTGTTGAAGTGCTGTAAAAGTTAATTAGTTTGCAAACAGAAGCATGAAAGCGGAAACAGTGCCATCATATCTTACAAGATTACAAGAAAAAGTTACGTATCAGTATCAATGAAGATCCAGCAAAAAGTCATAAGCAAGAGTTACAGAAGAAGAATTGATAGAAGAAGAAAGAAGTGCAATTACAGCATTGACGAAATTAATTCTTGTTGCAAGCCTTGTTTAGTAGGGCCTTTGAGAATGAAGCTGAACAGAACATTAACATGTTAGTGGTCCTAAATTAAAGGAAGACAGGATTATACTAGGCTTACGTGCTAATGCCAGTGACACCCATGAACTTGAATCATTGATGGCTTACAACTATAAAAATCCACGTGCCCTAAAGAATCAGATGAACAATTTACATTTAACATATGATCAGCGAAAAAAGATTGGAAGGATATAAACTTGTTTATAAATTTATGTGAAAATGATATTAACCTCGGAACAAGAAAACTTCAAGAAGAGGAAGGCATAACTGGAAAAAGATATTCAGAGATTGAAAAACTGTAGCAACCGAATTAGAATAGGCGAAAAACATGAAAATTTTCAAATTACTTACAAAACTGCGAGATACGATGAGGATAATTTCGGAGTCACGGCAATGGAAGACATTCTTAAATTTCTCAAGGAATGTCATATAGGGGACGTGAATAAATGAATCCTCGATAGTTATTTTAGGAAATTATTCCTAATTTCACTCGCGTCACGAAATCGCTCTACGACATTGTCAAAAATAACAAGTTCCGTCTTAAACGTGAGGAACATAAGGCTTTCAAAGTTGTAAGGTCTTGTCTTGCTGCACAGCATATTTTTGCTATTTATTCACCGACATTATCTATGCAATTACATTACAATGTAAGCTCAAGCGGGTTTGAAGCAATCCTGTTACAAGAACGAGCGAACTGCAAGTTGCAACCGATATCGTACTTCAGTCATTGTACAATTCCGAATCTAAATATCATAGCTTTGAGCTTGAGCTTAATTGTTGTATGCGCGATGAAACGATTTTATATATTATATATTTGAGCGGACCACATTCTAAAATACTAATCAGCTGGGATAATTTTCGTTTAGTAAACAACAAGTGAATCCGCGTATATCCCGAGGAGTGATGCGTTTGCAAGCGGACGTCTTCGACATCAAACATTGCCACGATGAAAAAATGAGACACGTAAGTGTGTTGCGCAGACAGCAGAACGTACTTATATTATATAGAAGCTAATACGTTCGAACAAGTCCTTTCGTTAAAACAAAACCAGGATGGTGAGACAGAGCGATCTGAGAAAAATTACAAAACGGAGGAGAGCGGTTCTTTGAATTACGCGATGGACCAGTCTATCGTAAAGTGAAAAATCAACAACTTTTACTTTATATTCCGCGCGCTATGGCCAAAAATCAAATCTACGACGAGATTAGACATATCGACATCGATGTATGTAGAGTTCTTGAAAATCTGTTACGTGTCTGTTGGTTTCTGACGTCCCGCTTATCGTATTCGCTTTGAATAACACCGTGTGTCGATTACTGGCAATACTACGTCGCGTTTGTTTTTCGGTATAGAGTAGAGACTAAAAAAGTAAATGACGACATTAGACGCGTGCTGGAAAATTGTTCGAACGGGGAACGTGATTTAGAAAATCGACGCGAGCAACCAGCGAGACGTATTTCAAACCGCCGAAGCATATACGAACGATATTACGATCAACTTCGCAAAGCTGTCAATTGTTACAAGCCTGGCGATAATAAATGATCCGATACGTTGATAGTACACCGAGAGTAAAAACAAATTATTTTCTATATTTAAGGGGCCATACAAGGTAACAAAAATGTTGAACTACGGTTGTTATATGTATAGTCGCCGATATCTTTCAGTTGACGCAATTACCTTTCCGAAGAGAGCATTCTAGGATTCGACCAAATGAGATACTAAATATGACTAGAATAAAAAATTTTATTCTCTGTGTGAGTGCGTTTTCGATTAATATTCAGCATTTGTAGTGTTTGATTTACAATTGCTAAATGTTGATGTGAAGTACGTTTAAACGTACGCGGTTGACCAAGGCCGGTCAAAGCTGTCAGGCTGGCTGAACTGTAAGCAGTTAGCTTTTAAAAATCTGAAACTGACTATTAAAGTTAAATGAGCTGTAAGCTTTGAGCTATATAAAACATGTATATTTTATATAGCTCAATGGCTGTAAGATGTTTGCAAGAAGTTTAAGAAATGTTATAGAATATATATACATAATGTTTAAGGAATAGTTATAGCTATGCTCAATATTTGAAGTGATAAATTTTTAAGAAAAACTATATTTACAGAGAAGTGAGGTTTATAGAATTAATCGACATATTTTTTAAATATATCACAGGGAATTTCTTGATCTATAATTTGTAATATTCTAATATTTGATTTTGGCACTTTTTGACAAGATTGGATCTGACTTACAATTGTTCACATTGTCTACAAGTTTCACAATTCTTCATTTTTATGTATCTTGTATAATATCCGCGAAGTTAATATTATTTTGATTTTGAAATGTTCATAAAAAATGTATTAACAATTATTCAAAAGTACAGAATTCTCTCGCTGATGCATCTATAATTTTTTATAAACAAAATCAAAATTTTGCCATTCGACATAAAAATTCAAGATGTAACATTTTTAATAGCCTTGTATAATTTCTAACATTATTCCAGAGTGTTTTATTAATGTGTAATTAATATTTAATAACTGTTAAAATTTCAATGCTTTGTCATAGTTTTTATTTAAGGACCCATACAACCTTAAGAATATTCATGAGCATTCCCGAACCATCCGAATTATTGTATAAACACGGACGAATCCTATCGACAGGTAGTCAGTCGGTAGTCGTAGGAACGAAGGCAATAAATAAAGAAAGTCTTCGTGAAAAGAAAATTGCCCGTATTATAAAAAACAGTTATTATGCGCGTCTGTCGTACTGTACTAAATGTATTAAAAAATAAACGATTATAATTATATTTTTCAGATGAACCAAAGCAGTATATTGAATATGTTCTGCAGGCCTAATATTTTAAAACGTTATCTTGTTAAGTCATGATCTAGATCAACTTCAATGATTACATACCAGAGGAATATAATCATTGAACTCCACGTATTTTTAATATTAAAAGGAAAATTTGATAAAGACAATGGTTGATCTATAAATGACGTGGCAAATAAGAATTCGTCTTAATGTTACCATATTTTTGTACAAACCAACGAAAGAATATATTAACTATTAATTTTCTGGTATTTGTATGGAATTGTCTTTCTTCGTACAACGACTTTTTCTAATTTACCTCGGCGGCCCTATAGGTACATAATGCGGTTGACACCTAATTGTATGTGTGTAACGACGTGTTTGATGAAGGTTGAATCTTATCGAAGACCTTTCGTAAACTGATTCGTATCATAATACTGTATTTTGGACCAGCGAAATGAGTCGTGGAACTGACACTCTTCTTCGACGGACAAGTGATCATAATAATAGACAAAATTCAATGTAATAGTTCCTCTTATGTGTGAAAAGTTATTTCGCGAGTATATATGTCTGCATATATGTGTATACGTATGTATAATATATGAACATATGTAATGTATGTATATTGGTAATATGTAATATATGAACATATGTAATGTATGTATATTCGTAATCAGTAATATATGTGAATGTGTAATGTATGTATATCTGTAATGTATATTATATAATGTGTACATGTATATGTAATACATATATATGTCAAGAACTGTATGTTCTAATTTTGGGCCATGCAAATACATAAATAAATCCACACCAACTTATTCGTCTTCTTAACATTCCTTTGACTGTCAAACACAATACTTCTTTCAATTGAACAGTTTATTAGTACATTGTACATCAGGCATGACCTTCAGCGGGAGACTAGGTGGGGATGCGTTAAGTAGTGTGAGCTGTGAGCGCATTATGATCCGCTGTGTTACTGTGACTGTGGCACGAGGTGAGGAAAGCTATTGGAGTAGGGAGAAATGAGTTGGCCATGCCTGTTGTACACCAAGGGCCGAAAATTGGCGCCATAGGTGCCCTCAGCTCAAACATCAACCTCGCCTAGAAAAGCACATTCGGCCCGAGTTCTTCGCCGTATTTTTTTTATAAAAAAGGCATAAAGAAGACCATTTTCCGTCGTCTACAAAGTGGATCGAGGATATAATTTCTCGAGTCGTCCTCTTAAGTTTATGACATATTATATATATACACAGACGTATACGTGCGCACGCGCGCGTGTGCGTTTAAGTGGATCAACAATGGCATTTTCTGGCCCTAATGGCCTATTCCCATTGCGATTTCCGACGCCGGAATCCGGCTC